ATAGATAGATAGATAGATAGATAGATAGATAGATAGATAGATAGAATAGATAGATAGACAGACAGACAGATAGGTAGGTAGATAGACAGATATCTGAGGTCACTGATGACTCTTCTGTCCTTGGGGACAGGGATAGAGAGACTCCACAAGACAATATATTTTCAATATAATGACCTCAGTCATGAACCCACCATCCAACCACTGGAGTGAAAGAGAACAAAAATGTGGGCATTGATGTAAACAGTTTTCAAAATAAGGCTGCTCATCTTGTTTCTTTCACTGTTCCTAAAGACAGAAATTATTTGTGAGTGCAGATACTGAACAGAAAACTTCCGTAGTAACCCTATAAAGATCATAGTCACAGCTGAAGGTTAAGAACCATGGTTCTTCCAATAAATTTTAAAACTCTAGAAATATATACACTCTTACTAGAACAGGAATTCTCTCTCTTTTTTTTTTTTCTTTTCAGAACCGGGGATTGAACTCAGGCCCTTGCACTTGCCAGGGAAGCACTTATTCCAGTAAGCTATCTCCCTGGCCCCCAGGAACAGGAATTCTAATGTCCAAATGTGTACATTTTAAATACTGCCTCTATGCCACACACTGACACCTCTTAAAATTTATTTTTCTATGACAAAATTCAGCCTACAATTGTGTACGATATTTCTTCTGATGAATGGTAAGACCTCCATACTAAGCCTTAATAGTGGATATCACTATGACAGCAGCATTTTCCTGAAGACCATAAATGTGCTCCCTGTAGCTTTATTATCATGCTCTCAATTTTGTTAGCAGATTCCCCCAAAAAACAAAACAGCTTTTTATTATGAACTTGGAAAAAATTAGAGCTTTAAAATGACACTGAATCAAATATTTTAAATTTTACAAGAAAAATATACCTATTAGCCAGGTAAAATTTCACTACAGCAAAAGCATATGGCAGATATATACTCTAAAAGATATATCTCTAGTTAAAATCTTTTATAAATGCAAAGGGAAACAAGATGGGGGAAGGAGGATTAATGAAAGGAGAACTGATAAGATTGAACATGTGCTATGCACATGGGCCAACTCCCCATGATGACTATAATCGCTATGGGCTGCAATATGTACTAATAAAAAAGAGCAATTAATAATTTTAGTACTTTCCTCTAAAAACATAAAATGTTCCAATTAATGGCTAGACACCACAACAGATGAAACTACTATTTAAATAGAATAAAAATTATCTAGAGAATCTGATTCTTTATCTTAGATAATATCCTTGGTGACAATGATTTATTGGTCAAGAAAGATTGTACTACATTTTCTGACAGTGTCAGCCTCAACACTGCTAAAATATATGCACTCCCCTATGGATTTCACCATATACTTCTGAAGGACAGCTGTGATGGTCACTCATGGATGACACACACTCACTCTGAAGTGACTCTTAACAGCCCAGCAACTAATGTCTTATTATTCTTACTAAAAATATGAGATCTGACTGAAAAAAAGAACTAACTGGTCTATGCTACTTCATTACTTTCTTCAACTACACTGCCTGCCAAAATTGCCATTAATTTTTTGCCATTTAAGAATCATAAATCTCAAGGGAAGAAGGCTTCATGCAAAAACAAACAAACAAACAAAATCCTGTTGTTCTCTTAGAAAATAGGTGACCATAAGGCAATGCTAATAATCCATCACTTTTAGAGTGCCTACCACTGATATCAAATCCACCCACTACCTAGCAGACTTTACTCCGTATGCTTCAAGCTTCACTCTGAAGGTGCTGCCCTATAAACAGAGACAGAATCTTAAGTTCCCATAAATGAAATATTTGGTCTGAATTTTTATTTTGTAATCATGAAGGACTCCAGTGTCTCTCAATCTAATACCAATTCTTCTGAAAGCAGATGTCCAATCATAACAAAGAAACAGCCCCCAGAGCAGCAGCATCCTTGCACTGGGGCTGATGCAACAATCCCCATGATGACCAATGCTCCAGTCACTAGGATAAGCGCTGCTGTCCTGCCCACGGGTGCCACTAAGCCAGAAGAAAGACCAGGGGAGTGTACACTGCCACGTAGCCCATGGCTCAAGATGGACTTCCAAATATGTATTCTCATCCTCCAACAGAAAGCAGTAAGATAACTTCTGAGACAACCATTTTCTTTGAAGGTGATAACAATATTCCTAGACCAGAAGCAACTATCACATCAGAAGGGGATCATGCCACTTCAGCAAATGACTGCATGCTAGAAAATGATTTTTCAACAACTATAGGCAGCAAGATTTCATCTACAAAGGAAAGACGAAAATCAGAAGATGAAGTGGAGACCCACATTAAGTCAACAGCTCCTCTGGAAAGAGAAAAGACAACTCCCACTGGAGCAACAAGCTCAATTAAGGAATACAATGCTGAAAGTTTCATTCCAGTGAACATTGGCAAGGTTTCATCCCCAGTTGCTACTGTTTCTTTAATAGATTTTTCCAGTATAACAAAAGAAGATGTCTTCTTGGCTACTGCTGATATCGGGGACAAGGATCCAGCTGAGCCTGCTGAAGGCTCTGGCAGACTGGCGGAGAGTACCAGCAGCCCTGCTTCTGCAGCTGAAAAAGGGAAGACTGATGCTAACAGTTGCAGTGCCTCCCTCCAGCCCACCGACTCCTTCATCCCTGAGGCTGAAAACTCCCCCTCCACTGACAACGACTACATCACTATTCCAGACATAACAGCCCTCGAAGAAGAGAACATAACTGAAATTGATCTAGTAGTCTCCCAGGATGACTCCAAGGCTGTTGATACCCTCAGAGACACTGATGAGAAGTACGTCACTGTGTTTGAACTGACCACCTCTGCTGAAAAAGACAAAGGCGACCTGGAAGAGACGCTAAACGATGAAGAGGCCACCATCAAAGCCGGTGTTTGGATGCAGAAAAACACAATAAAGGAAGCAGAGACTGAATCCATTTTGCTTACTGCAGCCGAGTCCAGGTACGACTTCAGTGTCCCTGTATCAGCAGCTGAGAAGATCACAGAAGAGAGAGAAGATGACACCACAGAAGATGCGCCTGAAAATAATACAACAGAATCTACACCTGAGGACACTGAGCAGCTTTCTGACTCTCCAAATCACGAGGAAGACACCTCCCCAGCCGAGACCGGCATCTTTAAACTATTGAAAGAAGACCCAGACGAGCTCATGATGTGAAAGCAGGAAAAGGGACCACCCAGAGCTGCGCCCTAAACTAGAAGCCAGTCCACACACTTATAAGGCTTTCCAGCCAGAAAAACCTTTCAAGAACGTAGCCATTAAGGCAAGTATTAGACTTAGAAAATTCAGAAGCGTATGAACAGAGGTCTTATTGCAGAATATATCTTTTGGAAGTTTTTGACACGAGCTGCATAGGAGCTTGCCTGCTGTCATAAAGGATTAGTGATCTAACAGTAATTTGTTTTAGTGAAAACATCTCACTTTGGAGACAGCGGTGAAGAACCCTATTTTCTGAAATGATGTATGTCATTTTAGCTAAGCCTCAATATTATATTTTAATGAGAATTCAGGATATGAAGAGAATCAAATTAACATCTTAAAATTATTGCAGTATTGAAAGATAGCCAAAACAGTTTTAATTTGTTCCCCACCAGTGATTCTCCTCTATAAAAAACAATTTGCAACTCTCACTATATAAAAATTAAACCTGCTTAGTAATTGTTTAACATTCACATGTAAGAAAAAAGATGAAAATTAAAACAAAGTGATATATCACAAATGTGTTCAGTTGTGTGGGAAATAATATTAGCATATGAATCAATTCAATATTATTTATGTTAATATCTGTATCCTGAAATTTTGTCATTCTTTTAGGTCCTAAGGCTGAATACTGTACTCTTCTTATATGCTTAGTCGGCAACTCAAGGGCATATCTTCATTTTTTTTGGACGCAGACTTTTTAAATGGGTCTGTTTTCACTTTGTTGATTTCAATAAATCATTCAACAGCAACTTAATCATTGTGTACAGGTGTGATTGATATTCTAGTACTTAATTCAAGATACAGGTAAAATTAAAATTCAGTGTGGTAGATGTGTGTGGTACATAATGTTTACATTCGTTTTGTGGAGTGGGTTCATGTACAGAACACTCCATTCCTTTTTCAACCCCCTTTCCTCCTTGCCTCTCTCTTCCATCTATATCTTGATCATCTTGCCTTTTTAAGACTTGTTTGCACTCCTTGTACAGCAATGGATGCATGTACATAACATCCCCAATTCCTTTTTTCAATTCTGCCCTTCTCCTTCTACCCCTCATTCCCTCTCTTGATCTTCTTCCCCTCTGAGAATGATCGCCTTACTTCCCTACTTCCCATTATCTAGCTTTTCTTTATTATTATTGGATATGGGATCTCACTGCACTGTTCAGACTCCTAATGATCCTCTTGTCCCAACCTCCCCATTGCTGGAATTGTAGGCATGCACCTGGTTTCCAGGTCAGCACAGCATGTCTGGGGTTCCAGAGTGGCATGTGCATGCAGTACCAAGGGTTGAATTCAGGTCCTGGTGCTTACCTGGCAGGCAATTAAACCACTGAGCTATCTCCCCAACCGCACCTAGCTTTTATTTTTGTTTTTAATTTTTAATCTAGATTTTTCATCTAAGAGAAACCAAGCAATAGGTAAGCTTGTGTGTCTCATTTATCTCACTTGACATTATTGTCTCAAGGTGCATACGTTGTTCTATAAATGACTTGAGGTTGAATAAACTCGAGTTCCTTCATAGTGCTTCACCATATGTAAGTAATTTTCTTAACCACTCAATAGTTGATGGACATATAAACCACTTCCAAAGGCCAGCCAAATAGCTCAGTGGATTAAAGTGCCTGCAAGCAGGCACAGGGGCCAGGGGGTTTGATCCCCAGTCCTGCAGTGCCGGCTTCACCCCAGGGCACACTGAGACAGCAATTGAGACTGGGAGTGGTGGCATGCACCTGTATTCCCAGCTCTTGGGAGGCTATAAATGGGTGGATTGTCATGAGTCCTTACTAGTAGTGAGACCCTGAACACCCTATAGACCCTTCCTTAAAATACAAAAAAAAAAAAAAAAAAAAAAAAAAAAAAAATCATTTCCAATATTTACCTGTAATGTTAATTTTTTGTTTAAAGAAAAACTTAGTTCTAATAATCAAAAATAAAATCACTCTATGTTCAAGATTTTAAGAAAAAAAAGTAATATATGAAAACATTGACTAAGTTACAAACATTACATACAAGAGAAGCAGTGTAGAGATTTGCATCATTATACAGAATATGAGCTATAATAATGACAGCAGTACATTCAAACTCAGAAACACATTTTTTCTTTTTCAGTACTGGGAATTGAACTCATGACCTTGCATTTGCCAGGCAGTTGCTTATGTCACTAAGCTGTCACGCCAGCCCCAGAAACACATAACACAAAAATTTAATATAAGATAAAATGAACTACAAAACCATGGGATATCATAATCTTGCTCAAACAAGTTAACATTTGAGAAAAATAAGTTGGATGCTGTTTAAAACATTCTTCTAGAATAATTTTATGGACTAATAAAACTGTACAAAAATAGCTGTGTATCTATCCAATAAGGCTGAGAAATGTAAACATATAAGAAAAAAAAATCACTAACTTGATGCCATGAAAAATTGAAACTATATCCAAAAATAAATTTGCATTATACATGACAGTGAAAAGAAAATACTGTTTCTCTATAAATAGTCCCTACAGAGAAGCTATTTTACATGTGCAGTAGACATAACTAATGGGTAAATTATCAATCAGCACATGAAAAATATTCAATTGGCAAATTCAAGAAAATATAACTAAAGCTATTGTACACATTTTAGTCACTCGGCAATTAGAAATGATCATTAAAAATATGTATTGTTGACTAATTTTCTAACATCCCTCCAAGATTACAAATGCTCATCAACCTTTCAGTAAAACTGGAAGGCAATTAGGATATTAAAAACTTTTATTTTGGTCCTAGTTGTTGTGGTTTGTGTCTAGCTTTCCCCCAAAAGCCTCAAGCAGTCGTGGGAATGCTTCTAGAGTTTGTGATTAATTAATGATCCAATGCTGGGATTATGGGTATGAGTGCTATACTTGGGGCAGATAATCAGCATACAAATGTAAGGAGGAGAGAGAGGCTTACTAGCAACCACACTCCTGCTCCTCCCCTTGCTCTTTGTTTTCTGCCATTGTGAACTGCTGCTCTCTGCTGTGTGCCACTCTGCCTTAGAGCCAGAGTGCAGACTGAAACCTCCACTAACTGTGAAAAAATATACCTTTCCTTCCTTGATTTGGGGTATTGTGTGTTTTGCCCCAGGAACAAGAAAAGACTGAGACACTATTATACAGATTTTATCACTTAACATTTTTTTTAAACAAGATATCATGAAATAGCTAATAATGAGCTCTTAACTCAGATCAAGGTTACTGTGCCTAGATTTGGAATAATATTCTTCTTCATAATAATGCTAGGAGGACATTATTATTTTAAAGTTGTTACTTGCCTGAAATTTGATTGTCTATAAAATATAAGGTGCTGAATATGCAACTCTCAAGATAGAGACTTGCTTCTTAATTACAGTAAACAGAAGCAATAGTCATATAATAACGTTCAGTTGAAGCATTCACATTTCACAGATGACCAAAGTGAACCTGAGAGATGTCACTGGCCCAAGGTAACCACATTAGTGAATGGCAAAGCTCAGCTCTGCCGATCTGATTGATGCGCAAGCCCAAATTACCAGCCACACTGCTCTGTGTGAACAGTGAATCATTTTATCTTATTACAGCTTCCCTCCTTTCTTCAACCCCACTGCCACCCCTCAATCAGGCTTATCATTGTCTTATGCCTCGGTCTTCTCACCTCTGGTTTTGCACTCTACAAATGCAGGCAGCCCTCAGCACTTCTCTCCTCTCTAGAGCCTTTTACTTGCAGCCCTATCTCAATGTCTACATCCCTTAACAAGTTATACAGTTCCCTACATCTTTTTTCTCTGCCCATAATCCACAGCACATCTGTCCTCTCTTTACTCTCTGTGCTCTATAGGAACATTTAGCAGCAAGCACCCCAAAAGAGATCACAGAGAGCAAGAGAGCACCTAGCACATAGCGTGCACTCAATACATGGTTGGAAATGAATGCATGAAGAAATGAATTGTGGTTTTTTAATGTTAATATTAAAGTATTACTTCTCATCTACCTTCCAACTCCCATTTGCTATAAATTGTGCTCCAGATTTTTCTGTACCACAGAACCTCTCCTTTCACACACATACACACACACACATGGTTTGTGTGAAACAGACTCCTTTCTCAACTACAACAATGAGCTAGTCACTCTGTGGCCCAGATGCCTTGACAGTGCTCTTGAATTAAAGGAAGCACATCAGTCAGTTGGGAGAAGGAGGCTAAGAAATTTTGGAGTATAGGAGGTGTCTGAGAAATCCCTGAAAAGAAATTCTTTCTGAAAGCATTTAATGCTTGAAGCTGCCAACCAAAATATCTTAAAGCTCTATGTCTCTTTCATTGTGCTTCCTGTCCGTAATGCCCTTTGCACTCTCAAGCACAACCATTAGTTCACACTCATCCATGCACTACCTTTTCTTGCTGCCTAACTATGGTGATCTGGCTTATATCCCACTATACACATTTTACAATTACATCTCCTATAATACATTGCACAGAGTTAGAGCAACTTAGGATGATTCTGTGTATGATTTTTCTACTTATGATGGTATGAAAAAATATACATTCTTTAGAAGCCATACTTTAAATTTTGAATTATAATCTTGTTTTAGTCACCTTTCCCATAGCTGGGACAAATTACCTGACACATTTAAAGGAGGGAAGGTTTATTTGGCACCTAGTTTCAAGAGTCCAGTCTATGTTGGGAGACTTTGAAGCTACAAATTGGTCATATGTGGGAGGGCAAGATGAGGCCTCATTGCCTAAAGCAGTCAAGCTACCTCAATCTTGAAAAAAATATCCTGCCTGGACATTGTTGGCTTTTAGTTGTTAGGCAACATTGTGCCTTGTAAAACTTTACAAAGGCATAAACACCCCTACGATTGTTCAGGGGTCCTTTGCCAATCAGGCATGGTCTACCACCTGACTTCAGCTCTTATCTCTTGTCTTTATTTTTTAATCCTTTCACCATTTTCTACTGGACACCACCGAGAGACCAACAAATCTCTACAGTGTTAGAAAATTTGTTGTTGCTCAGACCCGACATCCAACACCTACAAAGAAAAAGAGCAAAGA